GGATCTGCAGCAGAAAGGCCCAAAGGCAGTGGTGAAAGCTAGAAAGTCTGTGCCACTAGCAGGGCACAGTGTCTGTGCAGCCAGGCTGCGGGATCTGCACCGGAGCCAAGAAGTGACACTCAGGGCAAAGACCAGAGCTCCTCTGCTGAGAACAGCAGCCATACCCAGAGTTCCCAAGCGAGGACCCAAGCTCCTCCAAAGACAAGAACGGCCAAGCTGATATCAGGAAAACTGCCTGTGGCAAACTTCTCCAAGAAAATCAACAGCAAACGATCTTTCCCTCTGGTTCTCTTTTGCTGGCCTTGGCAACAATCCTCAGGTGGGTCTTCCACAGCCACAACCATGCTGTCTCAGTTCAGCTGGGCCTTCCAAGCTGCCCACTACGTAACCTGCCACACCAAGTTTTGCTGCTTCTACAAACTGGAGTAATTTCCCACCTTTGTGGGGCAGCTGTCCATGCTGTCCATTACCAAGTTCCCAGTGCCTCTCACGTGGACATCACAAACGCTTCTTAACTAGTGTCCCAGCCTCTTCTCCCCTGCCCGCCTGCCTGTCCCTTTCCCCCAGCGCTGTTACACCAGGCCATTGCTTCCAAGCAACAGAGGGTATTATGACATCCTGCTCAGAACCACATTGCTTTCAAAATGAAGCCCAAATTCATCACTGAAGTAGTAATCTGAGCAGAAACCATTTCCGTTCTTATTTGGAGTCTCTGTCTGTTCTGTGCTCTCTAAAATTCAGCTGAATAAGCTTTTTATAGTAGACTTAGGCTTTTCAAAGCTGTGTTGGATATAGGTTGCGTGTTCTACTCATCAAAAGTCTCTTGCTATCTTGCTCTTTGCTTACACTGACAAACACCTGTCTACCACGAAAGCTCTTCCCCTAACCCACAGGCCTGGATCAGAATTGTTTCCCTGCATTGGTGTCCCCACAGCCTTCCTGCTCTGGACTCTGAGCCCCTTGAGAGGAGAGGCCTTTCTTTCACCAATGCTTTGTATCTGCTCAGCTAGAACCCTGAGCAAGTTCCTGGCCTCTGAAAGGAGTGCAGTAAATTCTGGAAGAACCGAAATGCTCCTGAAGGGAGAGGAACGACACGGGTGAGCCCTCTCACGGCCCTCCTGCCATAGTTTCTTCCGTGGGCTCTGCAGGAACCAGCGACGTCTGCGCTAGCCTCAAATCTACCCAAACCTGCGCAGTACCACAGCTCTGTTCCAATGCTCAGAAAACAAAACACGGTTTAATCATGAAAACCTCTTTTCAGAGAACTAGGGATGCCCCTAAAGCAGTAGGCCCCCCTTTCCCAGAGCATTTCCCCGACACTGATCCCAGAGAGAGCGTGCCAACTTGCACGTTAGAAGAGGAGCCTGAAGAGAGCAGGGCTCGATGAGGAGCATGCACTTAATCTAACGCGAGCCAGGAGGCAATGGGTCGTCAGGCACAGTGCAGAACAAAGGCACCTGCTTGGGAGCTCCTCGTGGTAGATCCTGGGAAGTTACTTAACCCTGCTGAATTTCAGGGACCCCTTCACCAATAAATTAAAATGCAGATTCCTGAGATGCTGTCTGTGGGATGCATAGTCTGTGCTTGGAGAGTGTTATGCACTTTTTCCTCTTCCTCCCGAGCACGCTGTGTGTTGTGGGGGTCCACGCAGAACGAAGGAGCTGGCTCTGGAGTTAGCGCCTGGTGACACTGCCATCCTCTGCATCTTCGTTTCTTTCTCCACAAACTAGAAATAAAACCGCTTGCTGTGAAAACACACTCAGCGCTTCTCCGTGCGTGCCAGTCACAGAGCTCTTGGTTTAACGTGTCATGTTCGTGGCTTGGGGGACGCCTGGCCCCAGTGGCCCATCTCAATCCAGTCATTTTAAGACCTGTGCGACATGATTCCGGGTCAGAAGGTATTTCCTGCTCTGTTAATATGGGAGGGAGACAAGCTAGATGACTTTTACAGGGATGCCAGACATGATTAGTTTCAAGGAACTTTCCAAGCTGCAGAGTGGTTTCCAGTCCCCAGCACAAGATCAAAGCCTAAAAGTACAGCTGATTAGAAGTGGACTGGTGCCACATACTGTTTGTATACAGTATTTTATGGACAGGATGAGGGGTATATGTGACCAAGGGCTGAGGGAATTACTTCTGTAAACAGGATAGAAGGGATTCACGTTGCCATATATAGGGGTGAGTAGCACAGAGACACGGTGGCTCCGCTCCTTCCCTTCCCTTCCCTTCCCTTCCCTTCCCTTCCCTTCCCTTCTCTTCCCTTCCCTCCCCTCCCCTTCCCTCCCCTTCCCTTCCCTGAAAATGAGAATGCCCTTAGCTAGGCTCTGTCTTATTTCTTTCTCTTCCCTTTCTGTCCCCTCTCTTCCTTTCCTTGGAAAAAGGCAAGCATGGTGGGTCTCCTACCTGCCCCAGCACAGTGACCTATAGTCACGATGGGAGGCTGGTCTTGGCGCTATGCACTTGTGTTAAAAATGTGTTAGTCTGTGTGGGCTAGGGACTTAGCTCAGTGGTGCTGTCACCTGCCTTGAAAGCCCGAGGTCCCAAGTTCAATCCCTGCTACCAAAAAAAAAAAAAAAGCGTCAGTCCAGTTCATTATAACTCTACTTTTGTGCTTCCTTATCATAGGCCTCCAACGAATAATGCACAGGAATATAAAGGATTGTGGAACATGTATGAGGATGTATCATGGTCATGGAAGTCTCAGCATGTATTTTGGTTTTTAAACAAGAAAATGGATGCCAGGTGTGGTGGTTCATACTTGTAATCCTAGCCCTCTAGAAGCTGAGGCAGGAGCACCACAATCCAATCTAGATTATATAGGGAGGCCCTGTTTTTTTTAAAAAAGGATTTTCCTCATCTGAGGCATTAATGGAATTAAGTGTTTGTCTCTGGGGTAAAGGTGCGGGGGGCTCATAGCTAGGGATTTCATTCAGGACCTTCACACTGTGTTGTAGTTATTTTTCCTCATCACTGAGACAAAGCATGTGCCACCCAAAGTTAAAAGAGGAAAGATTTATTTAGCTCACAGTTAATAAAGGTTTCCATTCTATGGGCTGACTCCAAGGCAGGTTGGCCTTGCAGAGGAGAAACAGTTCATGGCAGGCAGAAGTCCGCAAAGTAGTGAAGAAGCAAAGCATCAAGCAGCAAGCCGCAAGTGATAAGCAGAGACCTTCTTTCTGCCCCTGATATTTTATTCAAGCTACCCACACTTAGGGGGAGTAGCCGCACACCATGACCCAGTCCCAGAATCATCCTTGATCCCAGCATCACACACTCTAGACCCAGCTACCTCTGAAAAGCCACCTATGACCACATGAGACCATTTGGAGGTACACCTAGATACAAGCCATAATATACTCAGTTATATTCCAAGCCTTTTCCATTTTTTATTTTGAGACAGGGTCTTGCTAAGTTGCCCAGGCTAAGTTTGAATTTGAAATCCTCTGGGGTGCTGAGATTACGGTCATGCACCACCCTACCCAGCTGACAATTACTACTTGTTGACGTGAGAGCTGGTTTACTTAGCCCTCCTACAAGTCCACTGCACCATTTTACTTGCCTGAACCAGCTTGGTTATGTTTGTGTGATCTTTTACAGGTACTCAGAACAAAATGGGCAAGAGAAGATGGGGCCTTGATATGTATCTAAAAGATCTGCTATTTTTCTTTCCTCTCTGCATCTGGTGAGGTTCCAGTATCTGGAAATTGACCAGCAAATAATAAAATACATTTATATCCAAGGCATATCTACTGTTCTTGTTACTATCAGATATTTCTATTCAATGTCCTAGACCTCAAAGAAAAGTGCCTTGGGGCGGGGGGAGTTGAGGAGGAACGATAACATGACCTGTTATCCAAATTGAACACAAAAGCAAAAGGACTGATCGCTTTCCAAATTTTCCATGATTTCAGAACATAAGTGCACACACGCCCTTAGAAGAAGCATTAGGGAGGAGAAAAACTGGCCAGCTTCCCGAATCCCATTGGTCGGTGATGCCTGAGATCAAAGGCGTGCTGTGATTGGACAAAGGGCTCATGAGGGGTGGGGAGACTGGCATTTCCCGACTGCTGGAAACTCAACCACACTGAGCAAAAGCAAATGGAAAATAAATACGGGTGAATAATTGAATGCTCACTGAAGGGGGTCCTCTTCCCAAAATGCAAAGCTTAAGGTTCTCCAAGGAGACATCATTTCTGGGTCTGCAACAGGGTATGTTCAATAGCAAAACCAAAATGTCCCCTTTCCAGCCTAGAGCCTGAACCTCTGGTTTCTACTGAGGGGAAACCCATGAATGATCTCTTTGTCCTGGGATTCGCCATCCTCCCTGCCTTCTTCCAGTTCCATATCCACCTCCCCGCAGCAAATCACTTTGTTGTATTTCTAAGAAAAATGATTTCTTTTTCTTAATTTGGGAGAATTCCTTCTGCACCATTAAATTTCCAGCTCTGGTCTGTGATGCATCTGGTAGCCTCAGTCCCCTGGAGATATTATTTTCTGATACACCACCATTTCCTTGCATGCTCTGATGAAAAGCGTTCATAAAACCACTTTCCTGGCTTTAGAGAGGAGGTCCACATTGGTGACAAACAGCGTTTTTATCAAGAATCCTTCTCCTCCTCCTCCTCCTCCTCCTCCTCCTTCTCCTCCTCCTCCTAAGACCTGCCTGTTACAGTGTTACAGCCCCTCTCATCCTCAAACCTTTCCCAAATCCCACAACCCCAGGAGTCTATAGAAAAAAAATATTACAAAGGAATGATTTACAGTAGGTCCACATGATCACAAATGCACAGTATCATAATGGGAGCTTTAGATAGGGAAAACTTGGGGGAAATGAATGCCTGGATGAGAAAAGAAAAGAGAAAAAGAAAGGAAGGTATTCTTTTCTAAATCCGTGCTCTTCTTAAACGATAGAGATTGTATTCTCACAGAGGAAAACAGCAGCATTTGAAGGATTTCCTCTCACCAAATTTGTCTCCGGTCCCTTAATTGTATTTAAGCCTCGCTGAGTACTTTGTTTACGGTCCCTAGAGCTGGGTTGTCTCCCTCTGGCTTGCTGGGCCGGCAGCTGTCTCAGTCTCATTCTGGCGGAGAAAGGTAAGGATCTTTTCCTTGCTCTTTGACAGATCTAGGAGAGAAATGCAGAATGCGGATGGGGGTTGGAGGTGGGGAGTATTGATATCACGTATGCATGTGAGGTTCTCTGAAAAAGTCCCCCAAACTTAAAGGAAACTCCTCAAAGCCCCGTGCTTTTAAGAAAAAGCTGGTGAGATTTCTTCTCCCTGTTGGAAGGAGAGGTTTTGGCAGAAAGTAGGCTGGTTGTGATTTGGATGAAATTTTGCCATTGGGGACAGCAGGTGTCCCTGCAGGGATCGCCAATGTGTTTAATCCTTCTCGAGAACAGGGTGTAAAGAAGAATAAACATTCACAAGCACTGGGCAGGGATCGCCAGGAGTTCTCTCTGAATTTCCACTTGAAGATGTAAAGTTTCTTAAAGCTGTGTGTGACCGTGGTTACCGTGAAAGGTAGCCGTTCTTCTGATATTGTTTCCACTCCATCCCAAAGCTTCCTAGTTCATTGACTTTATCCGTAGGAATTGACTGCTTGCAGTCTGGAGATGAGTGTTTACATATCTAAGCAGATGGACACTTGCTGGGTCGATGCAGAAGGAGGGTGGTGGGGAGGTAGGGGTCACCCTGGAGCCTGAGAAGGTCAAAGCTTGGTATCAGAAGTGGGGGTGCGGACTGGGGATTGAACCAGGAGTACTGTACCACTCACTGAGCTATATCCCCGGCCCTTTTAAAAATTATTTTTAAATTTTGAGACAAGGTCTCCCTAAGTTGCCAAGGCTGGTCTCACATGTAGGGTCCTCGTGCCTCAGCCTCCTGAGTAGCTGGTATCATGAGTATGTACCACTGACCTCAGCAGGAAGCATGATCTTTAATAGCATGAGGTGGTGCTCAGAGCTTCTTTGGAGTTACTGGCTGTTTTGTTTGTTTGTTTCTTTCTTCCTTTTTAACAAAGAACAAATAGCTTCCCCTGTAGTCCTAGAACTTGGGATACTAAGGCAGGAGATCGTGAGTTTGAAGCCAGCATGCGCCACCCATGAATTCAAGGTTGGCACACACTACACAGTCAGACTCTGCCTCAAACAAACAAATAAGCACCCCCAAAGGTGGCCTTTCTCTGGTGAGAAGATTGCTGCTCTTTTAAGAACCTCCAGGGCTGGGAATTTAGCTCAGTGGCACTGTGCCTGCTTTGCTAGCACAAGGTGCTGAGTTTGATCCCTGGTAACCACCACCCCCCGGCTCCAATTGATTAGCCCCTCCTCCATCATGTTTTCCAAGGGCACTTTTACAAGTTCTGAAATGCACCAATTCTAAGCATCTCTGATCTTCAAGTGTCAGGGGCATACTCTTTGTGCATGATGCTTCTGTTCCCTTAGTCCCATATCTTAAAACCAGGATGACAGAGGCCACAGGTGCCTCAGCATGCTGAGCTTGCCTTTTCATCTTCAGCTTTTGAAATAAAAAAAGCCCTCTTCTTGGCTTCTGCTCTAGGGGAAAGGGCTTGTGGTCCCTCTCCTTGTGTGACAATAATATCAGAATACTTACTAGACCAGGCTGGGAAGAATAGGGTGTCACGGAGAACATCCCAGCCCTTTGCGAGCAACGGCAGAGATCCGACAATTCCAGAGAATAACTGTGTGTAATACTCTCCAAATTAAAAGGAGCTTGTAAGATTTGCTGAGATTTTTTTAAATGGACAACAGATAACTTTCAGCTACAGATGTATAGGGATGATCTTCTGATAGTCTCTCAGGATCATCTTCATTTTTTTTTCCCTCAAGAGATGATCTGTGGCTTCATGTATTTCAAGTACTTTAAAATTTCAAATAGCTTATACGTAAGAGAGTGTAAGCCTCTAAGGCCATGAATAGTGGTGGGAAATAGACTTCTTCATTTTTTTTTTTTTTTGTTATGTTTTAGTAGTGCTGAGGATCAAACCCAGGACCTCAGATATCATTGCTCTGCCATGCCAGCCTGGAACAGATGCAGAAGGAGGGTGGGGTTAGGGGTTACCCTGGAGCCTGAGAAGGTCAAAGCTTGGTATCAGAAGTGGGGTGCAGACTGGGGGTTGAACTTTTACTGTTTGAGAGTAGGATGTGTCAGATGGCGCATTCAAATGTTTTTAAAAGACTTCACTCCTTAAATGGGCCAGGGGACATCAAGGCGGGGACCTTGTCACCGACCTCCTGACCCAGAACCTACTTTTGACATTTATGTACACATTAATGGCTGGGCTCACACTTAGCTTTTCTGTCTGCCTGTGTGAACTTTCTCAGGTTACTTAACCTCTCTGAGTCACCATTTTCCTCATTTATAAATTAACAAAAATCAACTTTAGCGTGCAGTGTTTCTTAACATTAAACCATGCTCTTTAATTGGCTGTGATGTTCATGAAAACAGTGATGAGGATTTCAGAGCTGCCAAAGTTTCTACATCCCTCTCAAGTAACAGGCAATCTTGTTTAAGTTAAGCGGACTGGTTTTCCCCTTAACCACAAACATTAGCATTCCCCTTGTCCTCATTCCTAAGTGAATTAATAGCAAATGAGGGTGGTGTGAGTGATAAGCTTCAGACCGCATAGAAGAGACCCAGGAATGTGGCTTTCTGTTAAAGCAGAGGCTGATTTCCCTGCTGCTGTTGAGCCTCCCTGGAGCGTCTGCCCTGGGCTCTGTCTCCTCCCTCAGCTGGGTCTGCATCGCTGACTCTGGGATTCTCTTGTGAAATTATGCCTGATGGGCGGGATGAAGATCTGGAGGTTGGCTGGGGGAAAATGAGTAATTCAAATCAGCCAGCTTGGTAAACGCGGCAGGAGAAATAAAAGTAAAAGCTGGCCCCTGTCTCTGGGGACTCTGTGGAAACGATCCTGACTTTTCACGTCACAGAGCAGAGTCTGGGGAAGCCAGAACTCGGAATCTGTTGGCAAGGAAAAGAACTAGGGGAAAAAGAGACAGGGAGGGGGCAGACCCGAAGGGGAGGGATAAAAAGAGAGGGAAGGAAAGACAGGCGTCACTCAGGAGCAGAGGTATTCTGAAAGAAGAGAGAGCTGCAGCGTTCCAAACCAAATCTGTGGAGCAGTCTTTTCGCATTTTGTTCTGTTCTCCTGTCTGGCCTGTCATTTCCCTGACCACACTGGCTCTTTCTTTCTCAGGAGCTGAAGGAAGACTCACAGCTGTGGCTGATTCCTCCCCTCGGAGTCCAGTGGTTTCCCTGGTAAATGGACAGCCTCCTGCCAAGGTACTGTAAGTGGCTTCTGCATTGAGCTTTTCGGGTTAAATGCAGCTTTGGGAAGAAGTTCTTCTTTTGTTGTTGTTTTGGTCTCCAGAAATGGTATCAGATGTCATCTAACTGGCCTAGCAGAATTTATGGTGGCATTGAACGACAGTGACTTAATCTGGTGATTAGAATTTACAAACAAGCAGGCTGCTGTAACAGTTTCATCGCTTGGGGTGTGGTCTTTCAACCAAGCAGGGTTGGGAAGGACCAGTGATATTGGATTTGGGGCTGCATTAATTTTCAGTTGATGCTTAATATATTCAATAGATTGAAGTCATTGAAATTACCTCCTCCGGTGTTTTCCTGTAAACTGTGTCACTATGACTGCTCAATTTCTCTAGGACGCGAAGTGGTGACTTCAACATAGGTGACCAGGGGCAAGACTTCACCGGTTTCTTAAAGGAGCATTTTGTTTAGCCAGATGCTTTTGATCAAGTTTTTTCCTGAAGTTTTCAGATTCAAAAATATTTAGAAAGGGACAAGACTTGCACATAAGGGCAGGCAGAAAGAATAAATGTGTGTCAAATTTTATTATCTAGCATGCTTGTTTAAACACATTGGATACATAATAGCAAAATTCCTCGCTGAGTTTGAGATAGAACTTGTAAAGCGAAAGGGAAGAGTTGACTTTTATCAACAGCTTGAACACTAAACCCACAAAATTATACCCCATGAAGTTGTTGGATCTTTTTCTGTGTTTTTCCCTTTTCAGATGGACAGGGCAGGTATAGCCACATTTCTGATAACAAATCCTTACCTAATTGACTTTGTTTTGTTTTATTTATTTTTTCCTGAACTGCCCATCTTCCACGTGGGGTGCTGGTGGTGGGGGATAAAAGGGTTCTAGGCACACATTGCACTGTGTTTAATAGCAGTAAAAACTTGAGGTGATGGGGGAAAGGCAGCCTTTGTACGCTGGCTGCTTGGTCTTGACATCGATTCTGAGAGCAGAGAATGGGCGATGGTTTCGAAAGAATGTGTGTTATGCCCTGCAAAACTGGCAGAGTTGAAATGGCTGACTGTTTTATAATGTGCTCTCCTCTTAAATGAGGCTGTCTTCGGATTCAGATTCAGGCTTTTCTGAGTTTAGAGAACAGAGAAGCAATAAACAAAGTGAAAAAGCTTATAAAACATCACAGAGTGCCAGAGGATATTAAAATGCTGAAAAGGTCTTCCTGCTTTTAATATCTTTCCTTTTCATGTTTAGCAGCCTCATCTTGCCCCTTTTTTTTTTTTTTTCTCAAATGCAAAGGGATGTAACCAATTTGAAAAAAAACAAAAACAAAAACAAAAAAAAAACGCAGTTGATTTTCACATGCATTGATCCTCCAGGAAAGGAGGTGGCTCCCCCTTCCTTCCACGGGCAGGGCACGTGCTGATTCAGTTAGGTGATACTGTTTCCTGTCTTCTCCACAGCTTCCACCCCGGAGAGACTCTCGACCTCTAGTCTGGGAACCCAGCTAGGAAGAACCGCTAGGAAAATGACTGAAGAGCCTGGAAAAGAGAGCCCAGGAGCCCCAGTGGCTCCCACTCCAGTGCCCATGGAGAAAAACCCCAAGAGCGAAGTGGTGGTCACCACCGTCCCCCTGGTCAGTGAGGTCCAGCTGATGGCCGCCACAGGGGGGGCTGGGCTCTCCTGCTACCGCTGCATCATCCCCTTCGCCGTGGTGGTCTTCATCGCAGGGATAGTGGTCACCGCCGTGGCTTACAGCTTCAATTCCCACGGCTCCATTATCTCCATCTTGGGCCTGGTCCTTCTCTTCACTGGAAAGTTCCTGTTAGCCTCCAGCGCCTTGTGCTGGAAGATGAGACAAAGGAGCAAGAAAGCCAAGCGCCGGGAGAGTCAGACGGCTCTGGTGGCCAATCAGAGAAGCTTGTTTGCCTAAGACTGAGTGAGACCCTATGGGAAATGGGGAATAGAAAACCTGCTCTGACTCAGAAAGCCCATTCATCCAGGACCAGCCGGGGAGGGCACGGGCCTGGCTTTGGAGGAGCCTAAAAAAACCGGGATGGGTGGAAGGAGGAGGTTGGATGTTATCCTCGTTTGTGAGGAATGACCTGTCTTCTTTAGCGTCCGCTTTGTGAATGCCTTCTCTCGTGACAAACTTATTCCTAAGGGCTGTTTACTAAGACAGAAGAATCAGCTTTCTCTTTATGTTAAATGCTTTGCGGGGAGCGTAGAAGATACACAGCGTTAGACCGTATTCAGTACATTTTGGAAAGTAGCTAAGGAACGATGAGGAAATAACGAGATCGTCCTGGCAGAACAGATGCCTGTCTCCAAAAGAGATAACCCACGCACGCTCTTTGAGAAGCTGTATTATAAACATGTTCTGCTGAAGGTCTGCATTGCCTTGGACTTGACACACACATAGGAAATTCGATGATAATATTTTTCCGTATGTTGGTTCTCTGCTGTTTCGTTTTTACTTTTCACTTTCAGTAACTCATCACTGGTGGTACTTTATCTGGAAAAATTAACTAATATTTTTTTTTTTATTTTTAACATTGGGAAGTTTTAGGGGATTGTAATGATGAGTCAGAGGTAAAAAGTAATAGCTGACAGATGATGTGGGGGGTTAAGTTAATATTAAAATAATCACGTATAGCACTTTTGATGATTTTTATATAAAAGTTTAACATACATTTTATTCAAAGTAATAAATACTCATTGCTGCTGAAAAGTTTTGAATAATTGTTTCTGTTTTAGTTATTTCTATGGCAGTCCCAAATTGTCCATCTTCCCTGTTTTCTTTCTTTCTTTCTTTTTTAATACCAGGATTGAACTCAGGACCTTGTGTTTGCAAGGCAGTCGCAGTGCCAGTGAGCTGAATCCCCAGCTTCCCTGTTTTCATTTGCAAAATATTGATTTTATTTTCTCCAAAGGACGTGTTGCTTCTTAATCCTATTGGAAGTATTTTAACAAATCTTTTCATTACTTCTGAAGAATAGTGTTATCACCCTTACTATATGCTAAGGATTTCTATGCCATTGTTATTATTATTACCATTATTGGTAATGGGGATTGAACTTAGGGCCTTGCACTTGCAAGGCAGGCGCAGCTCCACTGAGTTAAATCCCTGGCCCTCTATGTCATTATGTTTGGGAATTAATGCCTGGAATCAGACATTTTACAGTGTTCTGTTGAGTGCAAATTGCATTATTGCTGAATTAGTCGTTAATTATTTGCTTAGCCCAGGTTTCTGAGCACCAACTTTTTGCTGAGCATTATGTAACTTTGCAGGCAGCTGGCTCCGTGGGTTCAAACACTATGTAACTAAGGTTCATGCTTGAATTCTTCTGTGGACAGTGGACTGTCCAACAATGAAGACTGTATCCCACAACTCCAACCAGAAATGTTCCTCATTCATGTAGTTAAACCACGTTAAGCCAGAGCAAGAAAATAAGCATGAATACTTAAAGCTTGGTTGAAAAAAAGAATCAAAGCCAAGCCTAGCACATTCCTTGAAAGGCCTTCTAGGAGGGATTTGTCCTGAGGATGTAAGTAAATATGGCAGGTGCCCTCAGGCACAAGGACTCCCTGGTGCTCTCATAGTTTTGGTAGCTGGAAATTCCTCGGGGGTTTTAGAGGTAGTCAGGGTTCCTCCCAGCCAGTGCAAAAGCGTGAACTGTGCACATTCAGTGCCCGTGGATAAGGCTGTGTTTGACACTGCTCTTTCTGCCTCAAGACAGTCAATCTCCCCACTGCTGTATGAAGAAATTTCTCAGGCAAGGTTCAGTGTTCTCCAGTGTGCTCCAAACACCTGTATCAGCTTTCCCTCTCACCCTGTCTCCCAAAGCTCCTACTGAGTTAGCCAGACTATTTACCATTCCTGCAAGGGCTCTGGCGTTCCTGCCTTCCGTCCGTCTGGGGTTCTCCTTTCCCTCCCCTATACTGTTCCCACCCTTCCTCCATCTCAAGCCACCCCAGTCCTGCTTCACGTTGCCATTCCGATCCGATGCCACCTCGTCCTGAAATCCTGCCTCTATCCGAGTAACCACTCTGTCATGGATTATTACCTCTCTATTCTCCGGAGATGCCGCTCACTTACTCTCGGGTTGGTGGGATGACATTTCATTCCACTTCCAAAGTGCCTTGGAAACGTGGGATGTCTTCTTTGTTAACTCTAATGTGGTTAACATTATGTCTAATAACGCTTAACGTTATGTCTAATAAGGAATGCCACATGGACCTAATTGAGATACGAAGTGAACTCCAGAATGAACAATCAGAAAGCATCATTTGGTGCTGAGCATTTTTTTTCTTTTTTTTTTTTTTGGTGCTGAGGACCAAACCCAGCTCCTTGTACTTGTTGCTATGTAAACACTTTAGCACTGAGCTAAATCTTCAACCCCTAAAAATCTTGTTTAACTGAAAACTTTCCCCCAAATAGATCATCCACTCCACCTGCCTCTAATATAAGCACTAGGTCTAGATGAGTGTTTCCGACCTTTGTACCTTCAGCCAGACCTCCTGCCCATCCAAAGGACACTCATGAATTATTTCCAGCCACCAGGGGGCCTCTTGGTGCAACCTGGGTCCTGGAAAGAATTATATTGTAAGGACCCAAATGGGGTCATATCATCTGGAGATAGCAATGCTCTCCTAGCTGTGAGGAGTTGGAGGAGATTTTTCCTATTGCTTGACCCCCTATCCTCTTCCCTAAACCACCTTACAGTGGCTACCTCAGGGTTCTTGCGGTATGGCCAAGTTTTGCCCTACCTGTCACATTCAAAGCTGTGCTCCCCTGCCAAGCTGTTAGACACAAGGACAACCCTACAGACTGTGAATGACAACTCCCATGAGGGAAATAGACTAGCCTTGAATTATAATCACAGTTATCCTGTAACCTGGCCACACTGAACCACATGTCACTTCACAGACGGTTCCATTATAGCCAGAGGAGTCTTAAATGTGTGCGTAGGTGTCATGTGTGAATAAATATATTAAAAAGGTCATCTGACCTCATCCCCACCCATTAGGAATCAGCCATAACAATGGCAGGGCAGCCCCCTTCCTTGCCCATCCAGAGTACACAGGAACAATATCTAATTTAACCTGTGCAGAAGGGTTCTAGCTCAGGCTAGGAGGACAGCTGTCGGAGGTGCTGCTCTCCCCACCTTACTCTCTCTGTTAATCTAGGGAACCTTGCCTAGAGAGGGTGCGCAAGGAGATCATGTGGTCTTTTCTCCCCCATTCACTCAGGGGGTGTGGAGGAGGAAGAAGAAGATGAAGGAGGCAGCCAAGGAGGAGGAGGAGGAGGAAGAACATAAGTAGGCAGAAGATACGTAAACAGATTAATAGTTTTCCTGCCAAGTATGATGGTCTTGAACTTTGAAGATGTCATTATGAATGCCAACTCTCCAGTTAAACTAGCCAGATCATCTGCAGAAGTTAGGTTTCATCACTGAGTAAGATTAGTTATAAAGAAATGATTTGGATTTTATAAACTAACACGTACTACCAAGTTGCAAAATTGCTATTAATAATAACATGTAATGTTGATTTTGGCTTCTTTCTTGACTGAATGTCCCAACATGTAGTTAAACATCAAGCTGCCCTCTGTTTTGATTAAGTGGCTTTTATAGTCACTTTGTTTAACTTCTATATTATCTACAAAACTTTCTCAGCCCAAAATAATCTGGGGAAAGCAGCTGTCTCAAAGATGAATAGTAATGGTTTTTTTTAACATTGTTCTAATCTTCAGCCCTTCCACATATATTGGAGTCAACACGTATACTGTATTTATTATGGAAATTCAACCATATGCCCTCAATACAAAGAGAGAATTCATCTGAACAAGGAAATCCTTCTCCTTGGCTCACTTTTTCTTTCCCCTATTGGCTGCCTTTCAGAAAAGAAGACCATGGTATAAATATACAGAGAAACAAAAGCAATAATTCCTTGGCTCCTGCCTTTTGAGCTTCCAAAGGCCTGCATTCCCATCACGTAAGGCCCACTGAAGGAATTTCTGTGACACTTGATTTTTGCATTACTCCCTAACTCTACTTGTATAGGACTAAATTACATCCGATACTAGTTGATGTGTCCCACCATATTCTAGGACTAGGATCGTGTGTGTCTACTCTTCTTGGCAATGGAGGACACTGTAGTATCAGAGAGGTTATGGGCCCTGTTTGAGCAAGCGAAATCTAGCCTTGGGGCAAAGGAAGTGACCAGACATTATACTTATTCCAGTTTCTCAGGCTTTTTCAGGCTGCTGTAACAAAAATACCAAAGACTGGTGGGTTTGTAAATATCACAAATGTATTTCCTACATTTCTGGCAGAAATCAAGTAGCTGGTAGATGCACTGTGTGATGAGAGCCTACTCTCTCGTACATAGAGCCTTCGTGCTGTGCTCTCACGTGGTAGAAAGGGCAAAGGTGATCTATGAGACCTTTTCTTGGGGTCACTAATCCCAATCAGAAAGACTTCACTCTCCTGACCTAATTACCTCCCAGAAGCCCCACTGCCTAACACCATCATATCAGGGGTTAGATTATTTCGAGGGTACGCGAACATAGTCTCTAGTCCCCAGTTTTCCAGTGAGTCACAACTCAAACCATTTTCAGAATGTCTCTTTCATGAAGGTGTCCTTTTACCTACTTTCCAAGAATTCTTATTAAGTTACAATAGACATAGGAAAAGTACGCAGCTCAATGCATTTCCCCAATCCAACCTGCAGAATGAACACCCCTGACATGGCCCCTAAAGGGTCCTTACCCTTGGTAGCTGCATACATGCCATGTCACGAAGACACTCAGGCATCAAAGGAAAAGTCCACGTGGAGAGGAACTAAGGCTTCCCAGTCTACAGCCTGAGAAGAACTAATGCTACCAGTAGATACCTGAGTGATCTTGAAAGTAGGGCTTCCTCCATAGAATCTTCTGCTGATGCCTTGACTGAATGCTTATGGGGGACCCTGGCCAGCCAGATCCCCCCCAGCTAGGGATGCTCTCTGACCATCATGGGATCTATGCACTTTTGTCCCACTATAAAGGACAAAAAAGAATCCATCTTTCTTTCTTTATTTTTTCTCTTTCTCATTGAGTTCATTGGTCCATTTTAGGTATACAGCACAGTTACATTCATCATTGGGAACTTGCTCCTTTACATGACAGGTCTTGGTTCTCATTTTTTCCCCTTGTCCCTGGCCTCCCTTCACCCCCTCCTCCCCTCCCCATTTACAAACACTTTATTTCCATTTTTTCATTTTCCCATATATATTTTCCCTTATTACCTTTCCCCTACCCTTTCCACTTTCCATATACCTTTAGCCCTTTTCTTCCTAGTTCACATTGTCAATTACATCATTAAGATCTTATGTACTATTATAATTTTTACACCAGAGAAACTATTTGGTATTTACACATGTGTGACTTATTTATTTCACTTAGCAGTATATCCTCAATATGTATCCATTTTCCTACGAATGAACCTAATTTCTCATTCTTTATGGCTGAGTAGTATTCCATTTTCTAGACAAACCACATCTTCTTTATCTAGTCTCCACCATCTTTCTTATTGCAAGGAAAAAAAAAGTACGAGCACATATTGTGGGTCCCAGGCCCTGGGGTCACTTTCTCTAGTGGACCAAGTGGCTCTGCACCCAAGGGGGAGGGTCACTCCCACATTTCCTGACCCTTAGAAATGGTGGGATAAT